TTATTCAACTTGTTCTGTAATTGTTTGGGAACTTTATGGGAGACGCCTAAGTATTCTAGGGGCTACTAGAAATTTGTGCTTTTATAATCTCCTTTTTGGCAAGGACTTGACAGTTGTGCCAAAGGAAACATGAATGTTTTTGGCAGAGTTAATTGGCTGGAAATTATCTGGATGTGTTATTAGAGAACTGAAGTGAGGGGCCCTATAGACAACTTTGGGAAATGGAATCTGAGTGCTGATACTGTGTCTTTATGTTCATATAGGTATTCATTCTGCCATCCATTTATCCATGCATCCATTCACCCACCCTTTCCTCCACCCACCTGTCCGTCCATTGATCCGTCCATCCGTCTAACCATTCCCCATGCCTTGAGGACTGTCAGTAAGGGTAGCCTCTAGTGGATGCTGGGGACACACAGACGTGTAAGATGCGTCCCTCCCCCTAGAATTTAGGTCACCCGGAAGCAGTGGCTGTGATCATGGAAATAACAAAAGTTTCATTGCCCCGTGTTTTGAATGTACAGTTCTCTGAAAGACTCTTTTGTCTTGTTCAGCACCACCTGAAAAAGCTGGAAGGCCGCCGCCTGGATTATGATTATAAAAAGAAGCGAGTAGGTAAGATACCAGATGAAGAAGTCAGACAAGCGGTAGAAAAATTTGAAGAGTCAAAGGAGTTGGCTGAAAGAAGCATGTTTAATTTTTTAGAAAATGATGTAAGTATTTAAACCAACCAGGAGACTTTAATGTGAATGAAAACATTGACCATATGAGTAGGATCAACATGTTGAGAAGCTCTGGAGCCTTAGTTTACGAGAGCTTCCAGAATTTTCCATAACCATTATGTCCTGCCTCAGAAATAGCTTCAGACATTTGGCAAGTCCCAACTCAGACCTCAGATCTCAAGAAGGCCTGTTTATCCCAGGACTGTTCCGGAGACATGCTCCAGGTAGCCCCGGGGAGGGGGATGGTTTGGGGACTTGCATAGCAGACCGGCCTTTGTGTTTGGGGCCATAGCATTGTGACTTTGCAGTGGAACGCGGGGCCCACGTCATGCGTAACGTGCGCTTTTGCTAAGACTGAGAGAAGCGCGCTGTGAGGCAGGTGTGTGAGGAGGAGAGGCTCTCCGGTGCCCTGACTTGTCATCGCGAACATGCAGGATATAAAAGCGTGACCTGCGTTGTTCAGCTGTACCATAGCGGTACCTGTGAACTCAGGAATGATGAAGGTCTGGACACACATCCCTCAGAGACGCGAATACCCTGTTGTGCTGTAATTGCCACCACCAGCTTTTATTTTATCTGTTCAAGTGAAGTTGGATTCGGCATCCCTGAGGGGCATGGCAATCCCCACCGGGGCACCATGAAAGCCGAAGGCCTCCCTTCTTTGCCTCACTGACGAGTCCTTGGGCGTTTGTCGTTACTGCCTTTTTCCACCTGCTTCTGTGTGGCGTCCCTGCCCTGACGCTGGCCTTGCTGATGCCCTGAGCCGTTTTGGCCCAGCCTTAGCTTTGGGCCCCATTTGCTGAACTTTCAAACCCGTGGAGACAAGTCAGAGGATTTATTTATCTGCAAAACCATGTTCTACTTACAATAGTTTATTAAAAGGTACATCAAGGTCTTGCGCTTTTGAGTCAAGTCAGACAGAACGTACGGAGCATCTTTTTTATTTGCCGTGGTGACATGGGGGGCGGATTAGTATGGTCAGTATTAGCAAGACATTAGTTTCAGAGATAACAATTTGAAAATCCCCGCGTCCATTAAACCTGAGTGCTGAAAAGCACCCTCTATTATGTTTCTCCTTTTAACATTTTATCAGGGCGCTTACATCTTACAGGAAGTGGGAAGAGGTCTACACAGTTGGCTGTTTTCCTTGTTTATTTATTTTCCCTTAAAAGTAGAACTTGCCTCTTGAGATTGTCCCCAGGCAGTAGGCGATTTTGGTTTTGTCTCCGATTGCTGCATTTGATTCTTTGACGTGTTGAGAAAGTGGGTTTGAAGTGCAGCATGTCAGGTGCACGTCATCCTTACCAGGCTGTTGCCAGCGTTGCCCTTCCGGTCCTGTGCCTGTTTGTGGCGGAGTTGAACTCTGAAGTTGAGTCTCGTGCATCAGACGTGCTGCTCCCTCAGCTCAGGGCTGGGTCCACGCCTCCGCCAACGGGCTGTGCTGGCTCATTTTGGGGACGGCCTTGCGCCTTCTGGCCTGTCCTTTGACAAGAGCTCCTGGAAACCAGCCGTGGAAGTGGGAGGAGACCGAACTCCTTGGCAGCTGGGGACTGTCCCGCTGCCTTGGGACTGGGCTCCTTCCTCTTCTCTGCCCTCCTGCCCGTGGCCGCCTTTAGCCGCGGTGGTGAGCCGGGTGCTCTGGTTGCTGACTCTTGCGGGAGTGGCGGTGGTAGTGCCCAAGAGGTGGCTGGTGATGGCGATGCCGACAGTGGCAAGGGGGCCATTTCTTGAGTGCTCACGGTAGAGCGTATGGGGTCCTAGGGGCGTCCCCTGTGTGACGACACCCCTGCTTTTGCCTTTCCCCTTCCCGGGGTTATAGTTGAGGAAACCCGCAAGTTACTGACTGTGTGAGCCTCAGAAGGCTGCCTTCCTTCTGTTCGTGGGGCACCAGCGGGCAGACCCAGAAGGGGACCGCCCTGTCCTTTTCTGTGTCCGTGTGTCTGGGCAGTCCCTTTGATGAGACGAGGCGTGGAAATCTTCCCCAGTTTAGCCCTTGGACCTGCCATGCTAATGCGGAGGTGGTTGTGTTTGGGGATCAACAGCGGGCGACTTGGTGGGGGAAGATGGGGAAACCAGTGCATGGAGGGAGGAGGCGTACGTATGTGGAGCTCTCAGCCCCGTCCTTGGCCCCTCTCTACAACCAGGCCAGGTCCAGCGGGTCTGCAGCCCTCAGGACCCTGACTTCCTGCTCTCTCCGGGTCATCAACCCCACGTCCAACCTTGCCACTTCACCCCTCGTACCTGTGCTCATCCCGTAGGAGGTAGCAGGTTGTGCTAATAACGTCTCTGTGGTCAGATGAGTTTGGCGGACCATAGCGGAGACAAAATTCGCAGCCTTCTTTGTCACCAGACTTTTCAGAGTCTTTATATGATAATGTGAAAAATTAATCTCTATGAGCTTGCTAAGGCAGGATACTCTGGGAAGTCTCTCAAACTTGTTTGGCCACAGAGCTTGTCTACAGCATCATCGTTATTGCTGTCATTTCAAGGGACGGGTGCCATGTGGCATAAGGTACATTAGGAAATTCCGGACTCGCTGAAAGAAAGCTCCCAGCCAGGAGTGGACGACCTGAAATCTGGTTCTGGTCTCACTTCTGCTCAGCTGTTTGCCCCTGGAGAGTCGCTTCGACCTACAGGTATCGGGCCCGACGTGAACAAGTGCAGGCAAGACACCCTTTGGAAATACGAAGTGGGGAATAGAAGTATAAGAGGCTGTTATGTCGGCTACCGCTGTCATTGGCTTGCTCAGACTTTCTCAGAAACTCTGAATAAAGCTCTTGCCCCATTGGAAAGGGCATCTGTTTGTGATCAGACTCCTTCAGCTTCTCCGAGGAATTCAGAAAGAGTGGAGGTCTTTGAGACGACAGAGCAAGAAGTCACTTTGATGATAGCGATTCCTATCGAAGTTGGCCTCCCTTGGAAACGTGCCATTTCGGTCGTGAAAGGGGACGGCTTGTCACGTTCCAGAACAGGTGCCTTTCCCTCATTCAGGCATGCCAAGCACGCTGCAGACTCCAGAGATCTGGGCGTAGGGCATTACCTACTCGTGCCCAGTATCTCTCCTCGTGCTGTGGCCCTCAGAACGTGCCTCTCGGCCCACCTACCTGGCTGCTGACCAGTCCTGGCAACTGACTTCTGAAGATTCTGAGGAGGACAGTTCACAGTCCTGCTTCCATACCACCCCCCCAAGATAGAGAGCTGCCCTTATTACAGTCTGTAAGCCTTTGAGCCCTTCTTCCTTTGGGTTCAGCCCTAATCCTTTGCCCTTGGCCCACTGGCCAGCCAGTGGCTCAGAGCTCATTCAGGTTTCCACCACCCTGCCCCGCCCCGCCCGGGAACCCCTGTATTCCCAGTGCACAGTAGTATGGGGACGTCTACACTCTGCCTCCATCCCCACGGCTCAGAACCCCCGGCAGCCTCATTGGCTTATAACCGGCCACTGGTTTGCAGCTAAAGAGAGGGTTTTGAGGTAGAGTGCACCCCCGGGCGACACCCAGTCGATGCACGGCCTCTCGCCCCTGGGAAGAGAGCGAGGAACCACGGCGCGGGGTGGAGTCAGCCGTGAAGTCCCCAGGCTCAGCCACGCGGGCACGTTCCCCACGGAGTTGGGTTCCTGTAAGTCTCAAGGCAACGGCTCCCGTCCCCCGTGAACAGGGGACCCTGACCAGGGCTATTTCCCTTGCTAGGTTTTGCTTCTTTTGAGAGAGACTAAAGTAGCTCAGAAGTAGCAGTTTCCTCTTCCTCTTGTAACGAATCACCGCACGCGTGTGCCTTCAAACAACACAGACCTACCGCCTTCCAGACGGGAGGTCAGAAGTCCTCACGTCACGATACTGGCAGGGCTGAGTTCTGCCTGGAGGGTGTGAGGGAAGCAGCCACGTCTTTGCCTTTCCCACCCGCCAGGGGCACCTGCTTCTCCTTCAAAGCCCCCCGTTTGGCATCTTCACACCTCTTCCTCTCTTCCTCCCATCACCTTCTTTGACCCCCCTGCCTTCTTCTTCTAGGACCCTGTGATGCCACCGGGCCCACCCACATAATCCAGCTGATCCCCTAGTTCAAGACCCTAGTTCAAGGCCCTTTTCCTCTCCACCACAAGCTCTTCCTGGTTCTGTTCTGGTTCCCCTGGTCGCTCGTGTGGCCTCCTCCTCCCTCACTGTCAGCTTACTGGGAAGTCTGGTCGAGTTTCCTGCCTCAGGTGCCTCACATGTGCCCCCATCTGGATGGCCAGGGCAGTTTACTCTGAGACGGGAGTCAGCTGTCTGGCGGTTCTCCCCTGCGTGTGTCGTGCGAACCCTTCCACGGGATGAGGTCACACCTTACTTGCAAGGTGACGCCAGCAAAGGGGTGGCACCGGTCTCAGCGGAAGCGGAATGAAACCTCTTTTCTCATCCCAGTGACCTTCCCCGAGTCAACAGATGGAGTGGTGTGGCCCGTGGAAGAAACGCTCTACCTTCTGGACAGGCCCTCGCAGGGCCTGGCTTTATCGCTGCCATGTTTCTGCCTGTCCTGGTGTTTGATTCCAGCTGGGGATGGGAGGCAGAGGCCACCCGCAAAACACCTTGCCGCTTATGGCCTGGAATCCTCCCTGTCCTGGCATAAAGGGGCAGATGGTCCCCTTGTGACACTGCGTGGCTTCGCTGTCAGCCTGAGACTTTGCAGCGGAGTCCCAGCTCTGCAGGAGTTGTGTTGAGCAGGTGCCGTGCCCCACTGCAGTCCCTCCCGGGTTCTGAGGGGCCTTGGGGTTCCTTTCCTTCCCGGAGTCAGCCAGAGAATGAATAGTTCCAAAGGCACCTCTAGATCGCCCAACCTCTTTTAGCCAGCCAGACAGGACAGCTGGTAGTCTTTCCGTCTGCACCTCCCTGCTCCCCACCCCCCCCCCCGATATGTTTCGAGGAATATTCACTTAGCTCTTTCGCTGTTCCTTTGAAAATGAGAAACGTCAAACATATTTCAAAGTGCGGATTAAAATAGAAACTAACTTTACTGAAGATGGGGAGGTGTGGCCCAGAGTTGACCCAGATCGCAGCTCTCCCACCGTCGGGAGGAGAGTTCCTTCTGCCGCGCGTTCTCCTGTGGTCAAGTTAGACCGAGGCACTGGACTTGTTTGAACGTCAAAGCCAAAGAGGTGAAACTTAAGAGATCCATAGGATTTTGTAGGGGCTCGGCTGTCTTTGTTTTGTTTTTTGGGTTTGGGGAAATTTAAGGCCTGGCTTGTTGCTTTTCTAGCCCCAGGGCGTGGTATGGTCAGTGTAACGCAGCCGGATTTCCTCGTTCAGATGCTGATCACAGTGGGGCACAAGCGGAACGGATGGCTCAAGTGTGCATTTGAACCCATGTTTAAAATGCTGGGCGCGGGTAAGGAAAGTGAACGAATAGGCAGCTGAAGCTTGGTCTGGAACAACAGATGGGAGCAGCTGGGGTCTTTGAAGGTGAATGAATCCATGGCTGGTTTTATGGGGTGAGTATGTAGGGGTGAATGAGCAGGGCAGACTTTGCCCCAGAGCTACTTAGGACTTGGAGGTGATACATTAGGCTTTGGGGAATCTTTGGAAGAGGGGGATTAATTTCGGTGTGTGTCCTCTGGAGTTCATGGGACTCGTGCTGGGGTCCTCGTCACCTCAACGCAGAGGTTCTGCCTCTGAGGCTGGCCGACATCAGCCTAAGGAACCCTGCTTTTGCATAGCAGCTGCTCAGACACGTTGGGGAAGCAGGGAAGCTCCCAGGCCCCACAGGAGAAGTCTCTTCCTCGATTCATGCCTCCCCAGGTCTTCTGGGCTTTCTTACGTGACTTCGTTTTTTTGACATCCACTGTATTTTGGTCACTAACTTCATGAATGTTGTGATTCATGGGAACGAGAGATGCCAGAGGCTGTATGGTTCATTCCTTCTTGCTCTGTGTTTCAGGGCGATGATTTTGTGCTGATGGCAAAAAAAAAAAAAAAAAAAAAAAAAAAAAAACAAAAAAAAAAAACAAAAAAAGCCAAAAACATCTAGGGAGCAGGCAAGCCTTTGCCCTGGTGCACACTCTGTCGCTGATTTCGCTTCTTACGTGAGAACAGTTTCATTTACTTAGTTTCTTGATTCGACTTAGCTAGAAAATGCCCGTAGAGACATTTCACTAAGAAAGCAGTTCATTTACTAAATGTTGGCCTCATTTGTAATTGGAAAAGCTTTATCTCTCTGTTTTCAGATCCATGAACATTAGAGCGCAAAAATCTGCCGGGAGTATCATCTAATTGGAAAAAACAAGCTTTTATCGAGTTAAATCAAATTTTAATCACAAATAAATTTGAACATGGTTTTCCAGAATATATAGCTTTATACCGTGACCTGGGTGATTATTACGTGGGGCTCCGAGATAAAAATGAAATGAAATGAAATGGACCAGAGCTGGGGAGGACACAGGGCTTCCCTGCAAAGCTGGCTCTCTGTTGCTGGTTTCCCTTCTCTCTGAACACTACATAGGCTTTGGAATGATTTTCCACTTTCGCTGCAGGTAGAACAAGTCAGCCAGTTGGCTGTGTTTATAGAGGCGGCTTTAGACTATCACAAACAGTCCACAGAGATTCTGCAGGAGCTGCAGAGCAAGCTACAGATGCGGTGAGAACCTTTGCGTTCGTTACAAGCCCGGGCTGCAGGGTTGGACCCCATCAGAATCAATCCCTCTGTCTGTCCCATCGTCTGCTCCTTCCCACCACACCATCCTGTTTTGAATTTTCTTTAGCTGGCTTCCATGCTTGGGTGTGGGATAGCACTGAGAGAATACGGGGCTCTGGCCAATGGGACAGAGCCGGGAAGAGCAGTCTGGCAGGCTTTCTCCCTTTTCGTGTTTCTAAAGCCCTTTTCTGTGACCTGTGTTCAGGGCACCCAGACACAGTTGCTCACCTTACAGAACCGTCCTGGCTTCATGGCTGATTTGGGAACTTAAGCTGGGGATGGCGATGGCTTATACCTCCTTGCCAACATCTAGGGATGTGGAGAAGTGTGACACGATACTCAGAAAATATGTAAAAAGATGTGTTTTTACCTCACCAGTACAGATGTGAGGCCAAGTTCATACTACTGACTCTTAGAGGCATTGAAAGAGTCCAAAATAACCTTCTGAATGATCAAAGAAAGACTGCTGTTTCTCTTAGCCTTTAATGATGCTGTGTTCTATACTTCTCTGAAAATCAGTAGTATCATACGTCATGTGCCCAGTGAACCTATTAATTAAAGTAACGGGTTAACAAATCTACCCTTTTTCTTGATGGGGTTTTGTAACAGAATATTGTTTTTGTATGAGATTATGATAATGGGAGAACTGGGAGGGATGTTTGCTTAAATCAGTGCCAGAATTCTAGAGGGAAGACACAAGGTGGGGCTGGTCTCTGAAGCATCCAATTCGGTAGGCGGGGCGTGCACGCAGCGCTCACGTGAGCGTGTTTGCGTAATCCTCTCTCTGTATGAGCAGAAGGAGAGAAAAGGCAGCCAACGCTGTGGAGTGTCCAGTGTAACCCTGGCGCCTGACCGATGCCTCAGAGACTCTTACGAGAGACACGCTCTTGCAGATACAAAGTTGAAAAACTCCACTGGGCACCTACACCTATCACTTTGAGCTACTCACGAATCAGTGCGTAAAAACCACCCCCGTCACAACTGCCACCCGTCACCCAAGTCTGTAGGCTCCTCAAGGCAGAGCAACTGTATGTCTGGAGACTCGGGCTTCTCCCTCGGAAGTCTGACCGGTCTCAAAATATATTTCAGAATATCGGCCGCATCCAGCGTTCCCAGACGAGAATATAAGCCCCGGCCCATAAAAAGGAGTCCTAGTGAACTCAATGGGGTGTCCACCACCTCATCAGCGAGGACAACAGGTAAGATGACCATTGTGTGTTGCTGAGTGTGCTCTTCAAGGAGGTGCTGCCCGAAGCTTTTGCTTACTGCTTGTTGCTGTATTTGGCGTGACCCTGTATTTGACCCTGACTTTTTTTCTTTGGCTGTTGGGTGAATCCCCTTTCCCGCCCCATTAGTGCCCCTTTTCCTGCTTCCTGGTTTTGGATACTTCTGTCAAGTTTTGAAAACCAGCACCAGGAAGAATTCCATCACTTACTGCCTTCTAATACGTTAAAACCTTGGCCGTGGAACCTTCGTGCTACATTATCCTCTGTCTTTACATTTTTAACTCTTTCAGAATATTTCCCTAGTTTTTAGAAAAGTGTGAACATTTGTTGAGCTCCTGCAAAAGCTAGGCACTGTCTTAAGTGCTGCATCATTATTTTTTAATTAGACAAATGACACATATATATTTTTGGCTGAAAGGATCCGACAGAGAAAAACAACATTCAGGTGGTGTAAGTCATGCTGGAGGTCTTTTGGTCACCCCCTCCATCCCTGTCCCTTCCCTAGATGTAGCTGCTGTTAACAATTTGGTATGAGCACTGTCCTGTTTATGTGCACGTATACGCATACACCCGCACTATATACGCACAGTTTTAGATTATTTCTGTTTCTCAAATACAAGATCTTACTAGGTGTATTCTTCTGCGTCTTGCTTTTGTAAATGCATCGCTATCTCTTGGAGTTATTACTGTGTCATGCGCATAGATCTATCTCTGCCCCACAATTTTTTAACGGCTTCATAGTTTTCTGTTATATGTTACCATGTCCCTATTAGTGGACGCTAAGGTTGTTTCCAATTATTTGCTAAAAACAGTATACTTTCATCTGCCTCCATGTGCTCATGGCAAGTCTTTCTTGGAAGTGGAATCCTGAGTTAGAGAGAATGCAAATTAGAAGTGATAGTAGCTATTGCCAAATTACCTTTCAGAATGGGCACAGTACTTTTGATGTAGTAATGCTTGTTGCCCCACACCCACAGCATTCGACTTCCATTTTTGCCAACCATTCATGGGTAAAAAATTGTATTCTACCTTCCTTGTCGTAAATAGGGAAGTTGAACATTTTCTTCCTCTCTATATTTTAGTTTGCCATTTGTATTTTCTCATGTCTGAATTGTCTGTTCGTGTATTTTATTTGTTTTTTCTTTTAGTCATTTACTTTGTCTTATTATTCATAAGAATCCCTTACATATGGGGATATTGATAGCTTTTTTTCTGTAGTTTGTTGTTGTGTATGTGTGTGTGTTTCATTTTTTGTTTTTTGTGTTTTGTGTTCTCGTTTTTTAGTTTTATTTAAGTGATCTCTGTGCCCAACCTGGGCCTCAAACTCACGACCCCAAGATCAAGAGTCACATGCTATTCCTACTGGGGCCAGGTGCCCCAGAGTTGTGTTTTTAGAGTTCTTTATATATTGTAAACACAAGTCCTTTGACAAATACGTGGTTTGAAAATATTTTCTTTCACTCTGTAGCCTTTTATTCTCTTAATAGGGTTTTTGATAGATCAAAAGTTTTTAATTTTGGTGCAGTCCAATTTCTCATTTCTTCCTTTTAGGATCATGCTTTTGGTGTGAAGTCTTAAGAATCCTTTGACTGGCCCAAGATCCTAAAGATGTTCTTCTGTGCTTTTTCCCCAAAGTTTCACACTTGCACATTTCAGTCCATGGTCCACTTTGAGTTAATTTTTGTATGACACTGAAGTTGAAGTCTCATTCGCCCATGAATTTCAAACTTCTCTGCGGCACATCTGCCCGTGGGAGCTACACGGTCTGGATTTCTTCCAATGCTATCACTATCCTTTCAGATTTTTTTTTTCAATTAAAAAATAAAAATGATGGGACTAATATGTGTATATAGTCCTAAAAAGAAAATGGTGCTACAAGGCCTTTAATGAAAAGCAGCTGTCTCCCTTTATGCCCTCTCCCCATCTTCATTTCCTGTTCTCGGAGGGAAGCACTTTCATCTCTTTGTTGGCTATTTAGCTCCATTGTTCTAAATAATATGCTGTTAGTTCTTGATTTTTTTGGTTTGGGATAATATCTGTGGTTTCCTGATACGGCAGATGAGCTCTTTGCTCCCTGTCCTCGGCCTCCCGTACACTTCCCCGTCCCACTTCCTCCTTCCTCCTTCCAGGTTACTCATAATCACCATTTTCGTTGTAGAACCATCACTTTGATCATGCAGAACTCTTACGGTGCCTCCCCTCTGCGCCTCGTTGTTGTGTTCAGTGTGGTGGCCTCTGCTGCTTGAGGGAGACACGGGCGGGCCCGTGACATTTCTGGCTGCTCTTGGGTGACTCACTGGAGTGTGTGAATGCAGGCACACGCAGCACTCAGAGCGCTGCCTCATGTAATAGTCACCGTGCCATCTGGATTTGAAGCTGGGCTTCCCCATCTCAAGCTCTGGCCTGTTATGAGTGTGAAGATTGGTGTCAGGAAAGGGGTTGTAGTTGGCCTCTCCTCTCTTTTTCCGTCTACCACTTCTGTTCTTAAAGCTCCAGGGAGCATATTTCCAGCTCTCTTACAAGTCTTTTTAAATGTCTCTCTCCCTCGGGGTACCTGGTAGCTCAGTTGGTTGAGCGTCCCAACTCTTGATTTTGGCTCAGGTCATGATCGTAAGGTCATGGGATTGAGCCCTGCATTGGGCTCCACACTGAGCATGGAGCCTGCTTGGGATTCTCTCTCTCTCTCTCTCTCTCTCTCTCTCTCTCTCTCCCTCTCTCTCCCTCTCTCTCCCTCTCTCTCCCTCTCTCTCTCTTCTCTCTTCTCTCTTTCTCTCTGTCTCCCTCCCTCCCTCCCTCCCCCCCTCCTCTGCCCCTTTCCCCTGCTCGCACTCTCTCTAAAAAGAAAAAAATCTCTCTCCCATGACTTGTTGTGAAATAAGAAAAACATAAGACATCCCCCTCCTTCAAGCTCTCCAGAAATTTCTCTAAAAACCCTTTCTCGTCTCCATCTCCTGACCCATCTATAGCATAGATGAGTTTGGGGTCAAGAGTTGTGAAAACTGGTTTCCCATCTCTTCTGGTTTGGTTTGTGTGTTTGCAGGTTCTACGTGGCGGTCTCATGGGCATCCATTTTTCTTTTTTAAATAGTTCTGGAGCCTTAGATACGACTTTGATTTTCGTATCCTATAACAACCATTTATAATGTTATGAGCATAAAAATAATATTCACAGCAGTATCACATAGTGTTCTATCGTTACATTTCCATTATCATTCATACTTCTGTTGTCTTGCTCGCTTTGGCCTCATCGTAAGTCTTGAAGTAGGGCGGTGTTAATTCTCTAGCGTGGCTTCTCTTTCAAAGTGGTTGGGTTGTTCTAGTAGCATTTCCATGTGAATTTTAGCATCCGCGTGTTCATTTTTACAACACAAAGCATGCTCAGGTTTTGAATTGGTTGAGGTTGAACCTGTACATCAATTTAGGGGGAATTTACAACTTAACAACATGGGCCTTTCGAGTCTTGAACACAGCCTACTTTATTTTCCACTTATTTAAGTTTTATTAATTTCTCCAGCCATGTTTTACTATTTTCAGCAGATAGGTCTGGTACATTTTTAAATCAATCTCTCAATACTTCAAAAATTTCATAGGATTTTAAATAGCATTTTAATAAAATTTCAGGTTTTAACTTCTTATTGCTAGTGTATAGGTATACAGTTGGTTTTTGTGGATTGGTCTCATTTCCTGCCATGTTGCTAAATTCACTTATTAGTTCTAGCAGCTTTTTTGTAGATCCTGTAGTTTTTCTATAAAGATGATCATGCCATCCACAAATGAAGGCAATTTTACTGGATGTCAGGATGGCTTTTATTTGTTTTTCTTGCCTTTTTTGCACTTGCTAGAACCTCTGGTATCATGTTGACTAGGGGAGTTGGAGTGGACATGCTTGCCTTGTTCTTGATATGAGAGGAGTGGCATTCGGCATCTCATAGTTAAGTATGATGTTAGCTGTAGATTTTTCATAGATGTCTTTTTTCAGATTGAATTCCCTTCCAGGCATAGTTTGCTGGGAGTTTTTTATCAGGAATGAATTTTAGATTTTGTCAAATGCCTTTTTTGGCATCTGTGGAGATGATAATATGTTTTTATTTTAGTTTGTTAGCATGGTGAGTTCAGTTAAATTAATTAAAGCGGTCTTATATTCATGGGGTAAACCCTTTGTGAGAAAGTTTTTTTTTTTTTTTAAAGTAAACTTAATTTTAGAATAGTTATGGGTTTATAGAAAAGTTGCAGAGACAGTACACAGCATTCGTATATAGCCGTAACTGTTTCCCTTGATGTTTTTCTCCCCTTATTATTAACATCTTACTAGTTTGGTAATCCAGTGAGACTGTATTGATACATCATTAACCAAAGTCTGTACTTGATTCACATTTCCTTAGTTTTTACCTAATGTCCTTTTTCTGTTCCAAGATCTCCTCCAGGACACTGCATTGTATTTAGTCATCATGTCTGCTTAGACTCTTGACTGTGACAGGTTCTAAGACTGTCTTGGTGTTTAATGAGCTTGGCAGTTTGGGGGAGTAGCGTTCAGATATTCTGTAGACTGTTCCTCAGTTGAGATTTGTCTCGTTTCTTTTCAGGATGAGACTGGGGATTTGGATGTGGAGTCAGGGTCACACCACAGAGGCCAGGTGCCATTCTCGGGGTATATTCCATCAACACGAATTATTTATTACTATTGATGTTAATTGTAATCGATGCTGTCGTTGACCCCCCTGGCCAACCCAGTGTTTCTCAGCTTTCACTGTAAAGTTACTCTTTAAAATAAATGTTTCCCTGTGCAGAAGTTTTTTTAACCACAAATTAAATTTCCTTACAGATCTCAGGCTATTGAGGGCATCTGTTTCTTCTGGAGTGAGCTCTGGTAGTTTGTGTCTTTCAAGGTATTCGTCCATTTCATCTAAGTTGCCAGATTTACTGGCATAAAGTTGTTCATATATTCCCGTATTTTCCTTGTAAGCTCTATAGAGT